TAATGATTCTTCACAAGTAAAATTAGTCTCAACTTCGCATGCTTGATTTTTTCCCTTTTGACAATATAATCAGTGATTAAACTTTGCTTTGGTTTTGCAATTATGAATATCGCGTTGAAACTTGAATGCTCGTTCAGAATTATTATCTTTTTCGATGAAATCGTTTGCCAATTTGTGTCAAAACGTAAAAAGAGGACCAAGTGTACTTGTTTTATTAGAAACGGAAATTTTATTATTTAATGTGTATTTAAACATATTACTTAACAACTATCAGAAATTGTGACCGAAGAGTAGTATTGGGTTCTCTAGGAATCTTTTGGGGAAAAATGCTGTCTTCTGTACATGTATTTCTGTGCTCGTTGTTAACAGAGTTAACAAAAAGAAATCATTTGAATACCACCTGCATTTTGGATTGTATAGGGTTTCTATCAGAAGAAATGTTATTGGTAATCTAAAGGGTGGATTCGTTTCAGGTTCCTGTGATAAAATTACGTGTCCGTCGGGCAAGCACTGCCTGCTCGATCAAAACATGACACCGCACTGTGTCAAGTGCACGCGCAAGTGTCCCGAGTCGAATCCGTCGCGACGTCGTGTCTGCGGCGCCGACGGCCTGACCTATCCCTCCACCTGCCATCTGCGCGAGAAGGCGTGCAGATCGGGAACGGCGATCCCTTTGGCCTACAAAGGACACTGCAAATCCTCGGCCACCTGCAAAAAGATCAGATGCCGCGATCATCAGGTATGTCTGACGGATCGCGACGCCGGTGGGACGCCCCGTTGCGTCACCTGCATGCATAGATGTCGCGCCAAGCACATGGCAGGACCCATCTGCGCCTCGAACAACTCCACCTATGGGTCCTGGTGTCACATGATGCAGGACGCCTGCTCCAAAGGTTTCGTCCTCAACACCAAATACACAGGAAAATGTGTAAGAAAATTCAAAATCTATTCATTACTGATCCACCACTGATTTACATTTCTATCTTTTTCAGTTGAACAACAATCTGTTTTAATTCCATCTTCATCGATCAACGAAGCAACAAAGAGGACGAAAATGGGAGTAAAATTCAGAAAATACTAACAATAAATATAAAATGACGTACGAGAAAAACCAAAGAACAAATCGCAATTTATTGTAATTTACAATAACAAAAAACAACAACAACAACAAAAATACCGAGAATACACACATATTTTTCTGTCCTTTTAATTAATTAACTTTTCCATACGGTTTAATTAATGGATAATCAAAAGAAAACACAATTCTACTACTACTACTACTAATTTATGGTAACTTAATTTAGTTTCTATTTTGTATATATGATTAAGTTAATCAATTTCGACGATCCATAGACCTCGTGAATTCAACTTTATTTGTTCAATTAATTTGGTTGATAAACGGATTTGTATTTCCCACAGTTCCGATTCTAAAAACTGACGAAAACTATGTCTAATATCACCCATACACACGAATTGATCTTAGAAACGTATTATGTAAGTAGTTTATGTAAGGGAATGAAAATAGTTAAAGGAAAATTATAAAATATAGTTAACGCTAGCGGGTTTTTTAAAAAAAAAATTGTATGAAAACGGAAAGATGTATGAGTTGGCTAATTTACCAAAACGATACGTTTGAATCTCCTCCAATAACATAATTACAATTAACAGAAATTTTACAACAAAAAAATGTGAAATAATTAATTTCAATGCCAACTATAGCTCTCTATAAATATATTAAATCATTTCACACTTAAAAATGAACATGATTTCGTTTTGAAGTGTTAAACTACATTACAGTTGATTTAGATTAATAAGAACGATGGAGGAGATTCTTATAAAATTATATAATAATAAATAATTGATTTAAAAAAGAAAAAAATACGTTGTTGAGATTATGTTCATATATATTTTAATTTATTTTTTTCTATTTACTGAGAAAAACGTATGTTATTTTATAATACTAACTAATAATAATAATAATAGTTTATTGTTTGTAAGTTAATTTTAATCTTTGTTTACATTCTTCTGTTCCATTCAAATAGTAATAGCATATAAAAACTTTGAAACAATTACAAAATTGAGATTTGTAGTTCAGATTTGCTTTTACACTATTTGTATTGGAACTAATATTTTCAGGAAACGTGCACTTGTAAATCTTCTCCATTCTGTACAGTATTGTTCACTTTACTTAAATCATATTACATTATTAACCCCGAACATTCGCAGAACAATTTCGACTTTTTATTAATGATTAATGATTTGATTAGTATTATCAAAATTACTGAAATTTAAGCTGGATTCTGTTCGAAGGCTAGGGTTGATGGTGTTCATTTAATTAACTTTAGTTATGTAACCTAGTGAATTATATTATTCGTAGATGAATGTTTTATGGTAATCTATTTTTTTTTTAATTGTTTGTTTGTTTGTTTGTTTCTTTTTCCTGACTGGATTCCTAATTATGCACATATTATATTTATTGTTTAGTCCTAAAAACTATAAATATTTAAATGAATCTATAATATATTGAAATATTTATGATATATACGGAAACTGCAGCAACGAGAATCCAATGGGCGGCGACCGAGGAGAGCTTTCAATGTTTTCTACTCGGGAAGGTGCGAAAATTGTGCGAAATTGTAAAACCTCGTGGTGTTTTGTTGTAATTTCATGTTACTATATTATTATTTTGTTTGTTTCTCCTTTTAAAAATAAAATTCGTAGCGAGCAAACTTGTGCGTTTCATTTCTTTATCGTCGCCACTAAAATCTGATCCGATGGGTGGGAAATCCGATACATAAAAAAAATAATATTTTATATCAATGTACAAGAACGAAGTGAACTTACGTCAATAAACTAACTTACTAGATTCCCCAAACCATCA